AAAGGGTTTCACATAACTCATGCTGGCCTCAAACTTGCTATGCAGGCAAGACTGGCCCTGAATCCCTGATCTTCCGGCCTCTAGCTCCCAAGTGCTGGGATCACAAGTTTGGACTGTCATGTCGAGCCTCTTTGAAGGTGTTGTTTTGTTTTGTAAAGCGGGATGTCACTGGAAGCATAAAACAAAACAGACCAAAACTACTTAACTTGGGTCTTCTGGAGTATTCATCAGAATAGGAGGAGGTAGGCAAACCCTTTAGCAGGTAGATTGAGTGAGGCAGCAAGTAAGATGCTAGACTTGCTTTTTTTGTCCTTGTGCCCTTCTGGGAAGCCTGTCCTGTTCCTGTGACCTCTACTACCTGCCCTCTCCTTATTTCCCAGCTCATCGGTACCTGCTTCCCAAGCCAGCCTGCGCTCCATGGTTATTCACTTCACCTGGAAGCTTGCCTGCCCTGACAGTATTCTGTGAAAAAGTCTGACTTTCAAATCTCAAGGTTAACAACTATTTCTCTTGCCTTGCTGTGCTGGCTTGTGCCCTCTCAGCCTTTCCTATATTACCTACAGTAATATGCTCTAGCTAAATGTTTAAGCTGAGGTAGAAAGCAGGAAGTGATGGGACACATCTCTCCTCCACTAAAGACACAGGGGCAGAAGGATTACCATGAGTTTGAAGCCCACCTGGTCTACATTGTTGAGTTCCAGGCTAGCCAGGGCTATACAGTAAAACCTTGTCTCAACAAAACAAAAAGCAAAACAAGGTAGATTTCTAGCCAGGTGATACTGGACACAAGCCTACTTTGGGCTAAACTCTATTCCTGAAATGACTCAGGCTTTGCCCGTCATCCTAAAATGTTAGCAGTACCTCAATAATACTGCCAGCTTTTGTTTGCCCATGGAGAAAACTTTCCCTGAGCAAGTGTGATACTCTCCAAAATGACATACAAAACTGTGTTTAAATAGGTCATGTCGAGGAATGCAATTTATCAACAAATGGGTTCTGTTTATTTTTTTTTTTTTTACATAGATTTGGCCATGGATCAAATCCAATTAAAATTTTGATTGACTACATTTATTTTACTTATAAATACAACAAGCTAAAAACACAGAGGTGATATCTTCATTACAGAACTATGGACAGACCCAACATCATTACTGAATCTTAAAAGGTTGGTGTTAAGAAACTACAGAAAGTGCTGAGGCAGGTAAGCATAGGGAGTGATTTAAAAACACGAGACTCTACTTGGCTTGGGCGGTGTGTGCCTCCCTTTGCTAGCAATGCATCTAATAACATGTTGGCAACCCAGGACCCCCACCAGCTTTAGGCTGCACATATTCCTGCTTTAAAAAATGAAAACATGTCACTCTCTTAAGCAACATTTTGATAATGTTTGATAATCAGGTGTCCTTGAGTATCTCCCCTCCTTTGGCTGCTATCAATCTTGATAGAGAGAAACCTTAATAGAGTGTTTCTTTTGATCTGTGCTGTTGCTTCACTTTTAATAAAGTTTCCTTGATACTTTCACAGTATATGCGAGCCTTTATTTCAGTTCTTTGATTGAGAAATCAAGAACCTGGAAACTCCTGGTCCAGATTATGACCACCAGTAACACTAGTATACTGTAGAATTCCCTTTATGCAAGATCCTTGATAATATAAGCTAACATAAAGGGACTGAAAGCAGATGGGCAGTTACCTGTGATGTGGAGAGAAGGGAGGAGAAAAGGAGTTGAAAGGGCACATTCACACTTTTGAGACTGATAGAAAAAGTTCATCTAGACCAGTGGTTTCCAACTTTCCTAAGGCTATGACCCTTTTTTTGTTTTGTTTTGTTTTTTCAAGACAGGGTTTCTCTGTGTAGCTTTGGAGCCTATTTCCTGGCACTCACACTGGAGACCAGGCTGGGCTCGAACTCACAGAGATCCACATGCCTCTGCCTCCCGAGTACTGGGATTAAAGGCATGCGCCACCAATGCCCGGCGCTTAAATACAGTTCCTCATGTTGTAGCAACCCCCAAGCATAAAGTTATTTTCATTGCTACTTCATAACTAATTTTGCTACTGTTGTGATTTGTAATGTAAATATCTGATATGCAGGATATCTAATATTCCACCCCTGTGAAAGGGTTGTTCGACCACCAGAGGGGCTGTGATCCACAGGTTGAGGACCACTGATCTAGACTGTGTGTGATTAGAACTAAATAAGTTGGCCTGGAGACATAGCTCAGTTGGTAGAGTGCTTGTCTAGCACGCACAAAGTCCGAGGATCAATCCCAAGCAACCCATAAAGTGGGTGTAGTGCTGCATGCCTATAATCCCAGCACTTGGGAGATGGAGGCAGAAGCGTCAGGAGTTAAAAGCCAGCCTCAGCCACATGGAACTATCCCTATCACTATCACCATCCAAAAGCAGGAAGAGGGGCGACAAGAAAAGGACTGTGAGACTTAGCAGGAAACAGCTATAATTAACTGGGTGCCTCCCATATGTAAGGAGAGATACTGATGGTAAATGCCGTACATCTGCCAACAGAGCTACACAAGTCAACTTTGCCTTATATGTTTCTTTGTGGTATGACTATTTTACCTGGTGCCAAAAATGTTTGAGAATAATGGACCCCTCTTGATCATACTATGGAGAAATTTATGATAATAATACCTCTTCTGGGTTTATGACTATTGCTTGTTTTCAGGTCACCATTTTAAATGCAGAGTGTTTGTTGCTGGAGAAAAGTGAATTTTTCAGTCTGTAGTGTAGACAGAGAACAAGTGCTCTTTTGTTCTCAAGTGCTCTGTCTCTAAGCATATTTCCCTCATTTTCTGTTCTGTGTCTGAGTCTTTGCTGAGGGTACTGCAGCTGGACTGTGGAGTGGAACCAGGTCCAGAAAAAGAATTGCTAAAGAATGCAAGTAAACAGGATGGCAGATGTTATCCTTAGCCTATTTCCCTAAACATAGCTTTTTGGCTACACAGTAAAATGCCATTCTTCCAGCTTCTGCTCATATGCAGTGATGGCTGACAGCAGGGACAATCTTTATTTGCTTGGCAAGTTGTCACCATGTGACTTCACGTGTTTTGTAAGGAAGGAATGATCGTGACACACAAAAACTCTGTGAGATTGTCTGAGGACATCTGGCCAGTTCTGGGAGGAATTTTCTCAACCCACCTAAGTCTTTGAGCTCTGTTTTACCAGCACAGTTCCCCACGAGGCTCAGAGCTGTCTGACCTAAGAGGCAGTTGGCATCTTCCTCCTGACAGAAGCCAGATTTTTCACTGGGGCTAGACTGTATTGACAGTGTTTCCCCTGTCTGCCCCATGCATGTCTCCTTTCCAAGGTTCTCTGCAGTGCTGGTTCACTTGGGCTCCACAAGCAATTACTTACTTTTCTGCCTCCCCAGAATCCTCTTCACTTCCTCTCCTTACAGCTTCTTGCACTGGTGTGTGTTCCTCCCTTAAAAAAAAAACCTAATGAATTTGTTTTTCAGGTTTTGAAAAAAAAAAAAAAAACAGTGATGATGTTATCCCAGGAGTTTGTCCATTCGTTATCATCCCTCTCCATATCTTTGAGTATGATCTCTGTGGTTTAGAAATCCCACGTTCCACTGTTGTTAAAGAAAAGTTGCCTTAAACCTTTGCCCTGCAAGCACCAGAAGAGAGCTCATAAAAAGGAAGACAGCAGCAGATGCAATCACGGATGTGGCTTAGTCCTTGCAGCTGCCCCGGAGAGCTGTTCAGAGTGTGCGAGCCCCAGTCATGAATCCAGAAGAACGCGTTGTGACTTGGCTTATATCTTTGGGAGTTTTAGAATCTCCCAAAAAGACCATCTGTGATCCAGAGGAGTTCCTGAAGTCCTCGCTGAAAAATGGGGTAGTATTGTGTAAACTCATCAACAGACTTCTGCCTGGTTCGGTGGAGAAGGTAAGGTCGTTTTGCAGTGTCTTTGGGATTGCTTTCCACCATGGAGCAGCACTAATAGCATTCGTGAGATTTTTTTTTTTTTTCTATTGCCGGGTCATGGGAATCCCCTACTTCAATGTCTTTCTAAGAGTTAGGCATTCTTTTGTTTAATTGTACTTGTACTTTGAAAAAGTCAGAAAATGAAATTTTATCCTTCAGTAATTGGCCCCCAAATGTTACCCTACTAAAAACCTGTTACACCCCTGGCAATCCGGGATGGGAGGACACGCTTATCATGTACGACTCCGCTGTGTTGTGGAGATACATGTTAAACTTCCCTGTGTACTCCGGACATGTTTTGAACTTTGGGTACATGAGTCTGTGGAATAATGAAATAATTTGCAGTAGATCTTTCCAGTGTTTGGGAGTTTGTCCAAAAATTGATGCAGACTTCCTTTCTTAAAAAAAAAAAAAGATCCATTGAAGAAAAGTCTGTTCACAGAAGTCAGTGTTACATAAAACTCACAAAAACCAAAGAGAAACCAAGGGTGTGCATTGAATACAATGAGCATGCAAAGAGAAAGTAAACCTTGCTAAAAAATGTCAAGATTTTGGGGGTTGGAAGCCCATGTTTTAACAGTGGATGACTTCTAAAGTAGGCACTTTTGTGGCGTTAAAGGTAGAGTTTGTAGGATTCTTTTCTCAAGGTTATTGTGGAATGTGACTGTAAGTAAGGCTTCTTTTGCCTTTTGGAATCAGTTCTATTTTTATTGAACAAGTGTACTTGCTTATAATTTCTTAAACTGGAGAAACAGTGATTAAACTGGTGATAAGATGCAGAGTGACATGATAAAATGTAGTGTCCAGTCAAAGTGAAATATAATATCAACAAATTATCATGAAGAGTACAAGGAGGTAAGCAGTGTGGCCTGTTCGCATGAGAGCGGGAACTAAACTAAATATATATCAGATATATCTTAGTCTCTCCAGTTTGCTATCCCCACAACTGACTTGAGGGTACAAGGACACTTTTTTTTTTTTTTTAGTAGAAACAGCTTGCAGACATTTGAAACAAAAATCAACCGTTTAGGCATTTGCATCACTTCCTTCAGTGGTCAATTCTCTTCCTGGATGGAGAGCAGGGCTGCCCTCTGCCTTCAAAAGCCGCCCATATCTAGTTATCTGCAAATGATGGTGATCATTTGTCATGGCTTAGCAATGTCGAAGTGACTCCGTTTGACTCTTTCTCTAGTATTGTCTGGAGCCCCAAACTGAGGCCGACTGCATCAACAACATCACTGACTTCCTGAAAGGATGCACACCGCTTCAAGTGGAAGTAAGCTAACCTAACTTGCCTTTCATTTTGCCATTATTTTCTGCTTGGTTAATAATAAAAAAAAAAGGTCTGTGAAAAGTATATGATTGATTTTCACTGCCAGTAGCCACAAAGATAAGCAGAGGCGGCCCTTTAGAAAACCCAGAGTTGATACTGGTGATCCCCAGTGGTGCATTGCTTGTGTGTGTCTTTCAGAACCTGATTCTAAACAAAGCAAAATAATTAACTGGGAATGGTGGCACACACCTATAATCTGCAATACTAACGTGGTGGAGGCAGGAAGATCAGAAGTTCTAGGCCATCCTTGGCTATACATTTAAGTTTGGAGCCAATTTGGGCTACATGAAACTCTCAACGACAACAACAAAAACAAGCAAACAAAAAAAGAAAAGCAGAACCAAAAAGGAAAGAATAAAAAAATAACCAAAAATGCAAAAATGATGACTTTTAAATGCAGCTTCTCTTCAGGTGACCAAACGTTTTGTGGGTGTGCTTCCTTATTAATGGGGGGAAAGTGAGTCACTGCCTAGAGCAGAGGGTCTCAGCAAGCTGCATTCAAATAATGTAAAAAAGAAATGGCCCAGTGCCAAATGATCAGCCCCGAAAACATGCATACAAGCAACATTATACTGACTGAGAAGGTTGTATTTAGGCCATGAATTTAAAGGAGAGTGGGGAGGGGTATGCAGGAGGATTTGGAGGGAGAAAAAGAAACAGAGAAATGTAGTAATAAAAAGGAAAGAAAGGAAGCAAGAAAGAGAGAAAGAAAGAAAATCTTGAGAAAAAAAAACAGAAAAAGAAATGGCCCTTGTGCTCCCATTTTAACACTTCAGAGCAGAGGTAGTCCTTGGAAAACGGCAAGAACCTGGCCTTCATGTCAAAACTGTATTTAAGCAGAGCAGGAGATGCAGATCAGCAGTAGAGGCTTGCTTAACATGCACAAGGCCCTGGATGCAATCCCCAGCACCAAAACAAAAACAATGAATAGCAATAGAAAAAGCCCAAGCCACATCAAACCTCATGATGAAGTCTACTGCATGCATACGTAGCATTACCGAAAAACAGTGCAATACTTCTGTGTGTGTCAAGGTGCTTTTTTTTTTTGTGCTTCCATGTTGTTTTTGTGGCTCGGGGGCCGGGCCCTTTTTTTCTAATGCTTTTGTCTGTGAAATAGACTAACACTAACCACCTCATGAGGTTGTTTCAGGGTCTAGTGAGATATTGCTTAATTATGTAGGCTTAAGAAAGTCAGTGCCCTAAAATGTGTGAGATAATTTCTGTATTATCTTCAGCTCAGGGCCAGGTCAGAGGTGCTCTCCATTAGGAAACAAGTATTATCCATGGGCTAGCAGCAGGAGTTTGAACATGGACTCTGGTGCTAGACTTCTTGGGTTTAAATCTCAGTTCATGCTCACTGGTGACACTACAACCTTGCAATTTGCTATTTAACTGTGCTTCTATGCCTTGGCCTCTCCACCTATAAAATAACAATGCTGGTGGCACTTGCTGGTCTATTGATATTGGTATGAAATTTCAATGAATTAATACCTGTAAAACCCTGGGATGAGATGCAGGGGCATATTATTCTTCAAGTAGCTATTTATTTTTGTTGTTACTATTATCTTTATTAGCTGTTGTCTCAGCTAAACTTGGTTTCCTTCAAAAATTTTCTTAAAACGAGCTGGGTGTGGTGCTACAAAACTTTAATCTCAGTACTTGGGAGGCAGAGGCAAATGGATCTCTGTGAGCTTGACGCCATCTTGGTCTGTAGAGATAGTTCCAGGCCAGACTGGGCTACAATGTGAGACCTTGTCTTGAAACCAGTTTTTTTTTTCTTGAAGCAAATCCTAATCTAAAGCTACATCCATGTCAGAATGTCTTATTCCAATCTTCCCTACTTCCCAGTCTGAGAGACTCGCTTACCCGTCTTGAGGTTCGCGGTCCATGTGGCTTCAGAGCATGTGGTATCATTATAGGATGCTGTCTACTGTGGAACAGACCCTGACATTTCTTGTTTGGTTCTTCAAATAAAAACATGGTGAAGTTGCCAGTGATTTCTGTGCTGAAGCTGCCAGAAGGTGTACTGTGCTTCTTTGCCGTTCTAAGAATACTGGATGCTACAGAGACACCTCCTGCTGCTCCGCTGCTGGGGGCTCCCTGATAACTAAAGATTATTCCTTTAAGCACAAATGCTTACAAGAGTTTTCAAAAAATCAGAAAACTTATTATCCAATTTGGGTAGAAATACTAAAAACTATATCAGACTGACATGATATGAACATTGTAATAAAAGAATATCTGACATTGTGATTATCATGTTCCTTCTGTAGCCTCATAGATGTGTGCGTGCGTGTGTGTGTGTGTGTGTGTGTGTGTGTGTGTGTGTTTAGTGTGTACATGTGATATACATACATTGTGTGGGGTACATGTATAGGCTACAGTCAAAGTGGGTGTCTTCTATCTCTCTCCAGGTTACCTAAACCATGTTGAAACAGTCTAGATCTTATATATGTGCAGCTGAGTTCTAGAAAGTTCTCTCTCTTTCTTCCCTTCTTTCAGAAATAAAAATCTCTCAGTGGCCCCGGCAGCTTGCTGTTTTAGATAAAGTGTCTGGCTGGTCATCAAGCCCCCACCTACCCAGCAGCATTGCATCGGGATTGTAGGCAGCTGCTGACATGCTCAGCTTTTACATGGATGCTGGGGACCCAAACTTTGGTCCTCCTGTTTTCACAGCAAACACTTTATCCCTGGAGCCATCTCCCTTTCTTCATAAAGTGACTTGGCATCATTGTCCTCTGTTTTTTCTCATCTGTATGCTAGGGACTA